TAACCAAAGATCGAAGAACAGACGAATAATATTTGATTTCAAAAAATAGAGCTGCTAAGCGACCCGGATATGACTGTAGTAGAGGCATTGTTCGTCCGTTTTGGTACCGTTTTTGACGGGAGCTAGTTTCATGTTGAGAAGCATCGTATCATACATAGTGTGTGTCATCATTGTTTCCATCGACAACACTTCGATCACGAGCCTCCAACGAGCAACAAGGGCAACGGAGCAGGACAGCACACGGCACTGACCACAACAGACGCTAAATAGCCATGATGCAAAACAGCCTGGAGGCAGAAGCACAACATCGTATACATCAGGGGCATCATCAATGAAGACAAGATGAGTTCCAACAAATCTGCATCGGCGCTCGCGATCTGAGTAGGTGCTGATTGATTAGAATGAAGCAATCCAACAATCCACTAGAAAGCGAAAGCAGAGTGAGATTATCTTGCTACTGCACTGCTTAAACGAGATTCGGAATGTTTTGCCTTTTCAAAGGTCGGTCAAATCGTTTGCATTCAGTACCGCAGCAAAGAAGACAAGAAGGTATCAATAAATTCGTTGTTACCTGCTTGTCGTGACCTGCTTGATACAGTAGTCTTTGAAGAACAAGCGACTCGAGCCAACAAATCAGCAACAACGTTATGAATTCGGCAAGAAGAATGCTACAATCCACATTGTTTGAAAGCTGATGGAGCGGAGTGTGATTGATCTTGCATGGTCAAAGCATTGTTTGCATTCACATCCGCATCAAACAAGACATGAAAAGTATCGATAAATCCAACAATCAACATTGTTTGAAAGCAGGAGGGGAGAGGGATTTATCTTGGACCTTCCCTGCTAAAATTGAGATTCGGAATATTTCTGACTTGCCTATTCTACCGATACGGTCACATCATAGTTCAATACAGCAGCAAGCAAGACAAGACAAGAAAGGTATCGAGCTTGTTATTCTGATGTAAGTACTTTGTTCAAATCACATTGAATGGGAAGACTACTAATCCTGTTAGATGAGATTTGGAATATTTATAAGTTGCCTATTTTACAGTTGAAGAACCATCCAACCAATAACCGGGTCGCACATATCAATCCTTTGGTATATGATTGACTTGTGAACATGGCGTCTGCACTCTCTACATCCTGGTTGCATTAAAACTTAACTATTTAATCAACTATGTTATCTATAGCATCTCAATGATTGGCTTGCGACGCTTCATTTGTGAGTAAGTCGAGAGTTCGGCAAAGATATGGCAGTAAGATTGGAATCTACCTGCATCATCCTGCTGCCTCCTTGCCATACTCTCTATGTTAGACGAACTGCAACAATGTGGTAGTTCGGACACTAGCAAGGGATGAATTCCGATGGAACAGCCTCATGCCCAATTGGAGAAACACGAAGAAGCGGCTCCGCAGTATAAACTTTTTTCAACCATGGAAAACGAACGGAAATGAGCCTGCGTGAACTCATTCATTCAGCCGAGAGTTGTATGCACTGAGTGTCCAGCCAAGATAGAAACGGATCTCCTGGCCAACTGGCAGATCCTCAACGAAGCCCCCGAAGTTGGATTGTTGTGTTTTCCTATGAAGCTGCTCCGCGCAGCTGGCTTCCACTTCGTCCTCGTGCCATGGTTCAGTTTTATACGATGATAGATGATAGGTCAATAGTGTGATTGTCTGTATAGCATTGGTGAGTTTCTCCGTGACGAACAATATTTTTGATTCGCCTTTTTTGAATTGCAGTAACCTGGATATGGCACCAGCTCCCGTCACGTACCGTATGTAGAAACTGGTAGACGCAAGCAAATGGTTTGACCAAGATTATGTGATACCTGCCATGCCGGGGCAGGTATTCCATAAAATAGGTGATGAATATTTGAAAATCGTCGTATTTTTCATACTACCCCTACGATGACGGCACATTTCCGCTTGGAATAACCAAAGATCGAAGAACAGACGAATAATATTTGATTTCAAAAAATAGAGCTGCTAAGCGACCCGGATATGACTGTAGTAGAGGCATTGTTCGTCCGTTTTGGTACCGTTTTTGACGGGAGCTAGTTTCATGTTGAGAAGCATCGTATCATACATAGTGTGTGTCATCATTGTTTCCATCGACAACACTTCGATCACGAGCCTCCAACGAGCAACAAGGGCAACGGAGCAGGACAGCACACGGCACTGACCACAACAGACGCTAAATAGCCATGATGCAAAACAGCCTGGAGGCAGAAGCACAACATCGTATACATCAGGGGCATCATCAATGAAGACAAGATGAGTTCCAACAAATCTGCATCGGCGCTCGCGATCTGAGTAGGTGCTGATTGATTAGAATGAAGCAATCCAACAATCCACTAGAAAGCGAAAGCAGAGTGAGATTATCTTGCTACTGCACTGCTTAAACGAGATTCGGAATGTTTTGCCTTTTCAAAGGTCGGTCAAATCGTTTGCATTCAGTACCGCAGCAAAGAAGACAAGAAGGTATCAATAAATTCGTTGTTACCTGCTTGTCGTGACCTGCTTGATACAGTAGTCTTTGAAGAACAAGCGACTCGAGCCAACAAATCAGCAACAACGTTATGAATTCGGCAAGAAGAATGCTACAATCCACATTGTTTGAAAGCTGATGGAGCGGAGTGTGATTGATCTTGCTACTGTACAGCATAAATGTCTATGCCATGGTCAAAGCATTGTTTGCATTCACATCCGCAGCAAACAAGACATGAAAAGTATCGATAAATGCAACAATCAACATTGTTTGAAAGCAGGAGGGGAGAGGGATTTATCTTGGACCTTCCCTGCTAAAATTGAGATTCGGAATATTTCTGACTTGCCTATTCTACCGATACGGTCACATCATAGTTCAATACAGCAGCAAGCAAGACAAGACAAGAAAGGTATCGAGCTTGTTATTCTGATGTAAGTACTTTGTTCAAATCACATTGAATGGGAAGACTACTAATCCTGTTAGATGAGATTTGGAATATTTATAAGTTGCCTATTTTACAGTTGAAGAACCATCCAACCAATAACCGGGTCGCACATATCAATCCTTTGGTATATGATTGACTTGTGAACATGGCGTCTGCACTCTCTACATCCTGGTTGCATTAGTAACATTTTGGAATCAAACTTAACTATTTAATCAACTATGTTATCTATAGCATCTCAATGATTGGCTTGCGACGCTTCATTTGTGAGTAAGTCGAGAGTTCGGCAAAGATATGGCAGTAAGATTGGAATCTACCTGCATCATCCTGCTGCCTCCTTGCCATACTCTCTATGTTAGACGAACTGCAACAATGTGGTAGTTCGGACACTAGCAAGGGATGAATTCCGATGGAACAGCCTCATGCCCAATTGGAGAAACACGAAGAAGCGGCTCCGCAGTATAAACTTTTTTCAACCATGGAAAACGAACGGAAATGAGCCTGCGTGAACTCATTCATTCAGCCGAGAGTTGTATGCACTGAGTGTCCAGCCAAGATAGAAACGGATCTCCTGGCCAACTGTCAGATCCTCAACGAAGCCCCCGAAGTTGGATTGTTGTGTTGTCCTATGAAGCTGCTCCGCGCAGCTGGCTTCCACTTCGTCCTCGTGTCATGGTTCAGTTTTTTCTACGATGATAGATGATAGGTCAATTGTGTGATTGTCTGTAGCATTGGTGAGTTTCTCCGTGACGAACAATATTTTTGATTCGCCTTTTTTGAATTGCAGTAACCTGGATATGGCACCAGCTCCCGTCACGTACCGTATGTAGAAACTGGTAGACGCAAGCAAATGGTTTGACCAAGATTATGTGATACCTGCCATGCCGGTACAGTACGAGTAAGGGTACCGGTACAAGCAATCACACAATTAGTGACGACCGAAGTACAGACGGCTTCTTTCATTCCACAAAGTTTCGCCGGAAGAGCAAAGAAGAGTTCCGCCGGAATAACAATGAATAGTTCTACCGTAGGATGGAATTTGAAATTATTGATCTCGTTTCTGATGAATATGAACCACATCGACATCGAGCTGTTAGTGAGCCACACAAAGGGTACCACACTGGCTTCGAGCTGTTAGTGAGGCCACGCAAAGGGTACAACATCGCCATCGGGCTGTTAGTGAAGCCACGCAAAGGTCATCGATAGTTGGCCCTTGGAAACTTCGTTTCGAGTCCGAAGTTGGTTGTATGGTGGCGGTGGCGAAAGGAAACTGTGCACTTTGAAGCGGAGCAAGCCAGCGGACCATAGCAGCTACATAGGATCACTCACCAATCCAAGTTATGGGTTCTTTTCCGCTGAGTCAGAAGCTGCCGTGAATACAGTCGGCTGATAGAGTTCGAACATAGCCCATTTCCGTTCGTTATCCACGGTTGGAAACAGTTTCTACTGGGCAAGCATTTCTTGGCATCAACCTTCAAGACCTCGATGCCGATTTCTCAGTAACGTAAACCCGACTTCTAATATAAATGCAGCATTGGGATGATGGCGCCCACTTTCCGAGCTATTCAGTCAGAAGAAGTTGGTGCCGCTTCCCACTCACATATATCACCTGGCCCGGACTCTCTGGGATCAAACCCTAAAGCCCTCGGCTCATAGCCAGTTGGTGTTTCATGCCGAATTCTCTCGTCGAAGACTCCGCTTGGAATGAGGCTGTTCCACCAGGATACCTTCCTTGATCATGTCCGAACTCCTAGATCAGCTTGATTACGTTCCCTTGTTGCACGGACGGCACGTGAAGACGTAATCAAATGTTGGGGAATAACTTTTTTAAAACTTTGTTACCTGTAGTCTGCCCATGATCTTGTTTGGGACGCTAGCGTGAGTAGTTCGAGAAATCAGTAGTACTTGTGAACAAACCTTCATAAATTCCGCAGCTCATGACGTCCCTCTCACCCTCTTTGTCGATTGAATCAATCTCAAGCAATTGGATGAAACAATGTTGTGAATTTAGCCCATCAGCACTCACTTCAGTACCGATATTGAAATGGAGTCGGACTGATTAACATTTTATCCAACCCTCCTCAATTTCTTCTTCCGAAGCGTTCTAAAGAGTTGAATGACCTTCTTTGTCGCTTCAGAAAAACTGATTTCTACCCAATGACCTGGCCCTGTTTGTTCAAGGAACCGGACCCCCTTGACGCCTAATTCCTGGGTCAATTCAATGGCTTTCTTCTTTCGTTCTTTTCTGGGTAGGTTGTCGTACTCGAAACAATAGTTCTCGAGAAACTCTCGAAATTTAATATTGCCTGGCCATGATTGAGTGACCTGGCCGCGTCCCAAAAGTATATCGTTCTCAGTAGGCGCAGTTTTCGCCGACGCCGTAGGGAGGGCCTTGTACTCTTTGATCGATATCGAATTCGCCGCAAGAACCGGTATTGACTTCGCCGCAAGGGCAGTCGAAGAGATTTCCTGGAGTTGTTGTCGCTGGTATTTGTGAAACCATGAATAAAAAATGTCATCCCGAATATTCCCAACTGTATCAATCGGAAATGTATCCATGGGAATACCGTGGCTTCGAAGCGCATACTGGAGCTCAATGATACTACCGACATGAATTCGGCTGCGCACTTTCGAATATACCGGCAGAGTCTTCACTATCGGTCCTAGAAAAGAGTTGTTGAGTACAAGATTACCCTGAGTAGTTTGGAGACAATAGTGCATTGACGAGAAACGGATGGGAAACGATTCTCTGGCATTTGCTACCTTCATTATGAAGCTCACTCCCGGCATCACAAAGGCGTCACCTGTTCTCGAAGCACTATGATACACGGTAGCTAGCCCCTTTGTTTGAACTTTGGGATCACGAAGCAAGATACTGATCCACAAAAAGTATTCAACTCGAATCTGGGGGATGGATCAAGAGTAGAAGTGAGCAACTATTTGGCGCTTTGCAAGACACTCCAGCAAAATGATCGCATCCGTACCACATTTTCAGGTCTGACTCTACCCAACATACTACCGAACCAATGTATGATGGCACGCCCAGCTCGGTCTCTTTCTTCTTGAATATGGTAAAAACCGGATAAGAGTAGGCTCTTGTCTTCTTCATTCAAGTCATCGAGAGTTATTTCCCGGGCAATCTTGTCGTTCCCAAAGTACGTTGCCTTTTCCTTCAGAAAATTCATCATTTGACGAACAGATTTACCAACATTGTGCATGTTTGCTCTCAAGAACTTTAGTCGGATCGAATGATCTTCGACATAAGCTCTGTTTTGGGTCATGGCAATTTCATAGAAGATGTTGCGTTCCTTCTTTACCGTCTCTTCGAAGTCGGCGAGAGATTTCTGTATCATTGCAGGTGTCTCCTTCAGTTCCTCTCCTACGCAGTGGATATCGTCAAATGCCTCAGCTCTCTCTTGCAACGATAGTTTGTTCAGTTCGGATGCCAGCATTTCTTCCGTGGGTTTGATGACGGATTGCTCGTCGTGGTTAGCAGCTTGACGATTCAAGGTGATTTGAGGAGTCTGATCAGTTTCATGGTGTTGATGGCCACCTTTGCATGGCCTGCAAGACCACTCGTCGTACTGGATAGATGATGCCATGATGAACTGATGTCAAAGAGATGCTAATTTATTTGCATGCCCTTCACATCCATTCGAAAGATAGCATACTATATTATAGGTGGTAGCTACAAATATAGCAGGCGTGATAAAATAATCGAGAGCGTTATTACTTTGCTGCGCGGTTCCATGTTCCATATTGTATTTCTCCGAGCTCGTTCCAAAGCTAAGGCTGATCCTATAAAACCGTCGCGCGAAATTCGCGACGTGGGTCGCCCACCTTTATACGGTACGTTTTTGACGAACCTGCTGTGCGTGCAAATGAGCAGTTTTTTCTGTTCACCATACAGTGCTGTTGGTTTGTTCCCGTTTATTCATTGCATAAAACACTCCGAAGCAATGCATGATATAAGGCAACATATACATTACGCAAGCATTATAAGGCTGAAAATGTTCACTCATCGCCAGCTGAACAAGGATGATTTCTCGGACAATTCCAAATCTCAATTGATAATATAAAATAGCTCGAAGGACAAATAAGATCTGGCATCAGTTCACCGGGGAGTAAAAGAAAGTTTATTGTAGGTACAGATTGTTTGTTACAATCTCAACCGATAACAAAGAATCAACAATGCAAGCATCCTGTATTGTCAAAGTCAAGTTCGGTGCTGATTGATCCCATCGATAAATTCCTCAGCGAACTCCGTTTTCTTCTCACTCTGGCAGCGTGGTGATCACTTTGCGATATTTGGAGCTGTGGAGTGCAAATTTCTGTCAAAACTGTAGTCGGCGATGCAGTCAAGGATGGTGCAGCCATTGGATCCTCCATGCTATGGTTGCTTGCTTTTGTCAATGAATGACGAGACGTGTCAAAGCACAGAGTCACAGCGAAACGGAAATGGAGAAATGGCGGAATATATATTTTGGCTAGAAACGAAGTACCCTAAGCCCATTTCAATTCTAGTGCCCGTGACCGAATCTAGGGATACAGTATATATAATCAAGCAATTTACCATTTACGGGAGGCCCAAACAACGGACATCCTCAGAGGCCTGGTCGGTTTTTATGCAGAAAACGGTCATAGGTACGGCCAAAAGTGCTGAAGTCGGAAGTTGGACTAGGCTTTTTGTGACTGGCGGCTGCGCTGTATAGATGACTCCCACACAACTTTTAGATGGAACAGTGCCTTGCATTGAGATCGCTTCTCTGCACATAGTACTGCACTGGATTCTGATATAGAACCTAGCGGTAGTGTCATCCAATCCTCGAATTCTAATGGATCTAAAGAGTTGACCGACCTTCTTCCTCGCTTCGGAAAAACCAATTTCTACGCACTCGCCAGGTCCTGTTGGTTCAAAGAATCGTGACCCTCCTCTCGCTCAATGTCGGGTGTTGCCGCGTGCAGTCAGTCCTACAGAATTTTAATGAGTCGGATTATTCCAAGTTTATGTTCCAAATGAAAATAAATCATGGTGCGGTTACCTTCTGCAGCTGAGAGAGAAAAATCATGCTGGTATCAGCGGTAACCGCCGAAGAGTGAAAGAATGCGCAAATATTGTTCTAAGATAACTATCGACAAATGTAGTTCTCAAGCAACTTGAATGGACCGGTGCTGGGGTTGAGATCAGCAGTTTTCACTTCGGTACAAATGCTGCACCGTTCTGCTACTCTGACTGGGGCAGGCGAGTGTTATCCAAGCCTCTATTTCTTCTTCCGAAGCGTTCTAAGAAGTTGACTGACCTTCTTCCTCGCTTCAGAACACTCAATTTTAGCCCACTCACCAGACTCAGTTTCTTCAAAGAATCGGATTCCCTTGGTTCCCAATTCCTGAGTCAATTCAATCGTTCTCCTTTTCCGTTCATTTCTGGGGAGCATATCGTATTCAGCACTGTGCTTCTCGAGAAACCTTCGAAAGTTGCTATTGCCTGGCCATGATTGGGCAACCCGTCCTCTTCCCAACAGTATATCTGCCTCAGTAGGCTTGGCTGATGGATTCACATCAAACGGCACGTGCCGGTTTCCTCTAGCCACTTGTCGCGTTTGTGCAGTTCTCAATGAAGATGAAAAGAGCGCCTTGTCTTCTTTCGTCGATCCAGGCGCACGAACTATCGAACAGTTGTTCTCGGCCTGCTCCCGCTGGTGATTGTAGAACCATGCTAAACAGATATCTTCGCGAATATTCCCATTCATGTCAACTGGAAGCGTATCCGTTGGAATTCCGTGGCCTCGAAGCGCATACTGGATCTCAATGATACTTCCGACATGAAATCGGCTCCGCACTTTCGAATACAACGGCAATGTATTCACTATTGGCCCCAGAAAAGAGTTGTTGAGTGCAAGATTAGCCTCAGTAGTCTGGAGGCAATAATGCATTGACGAGAAACGGACGGGAAAAGATGCTGTGGCATTTGATACCGTCATTATGAAGTTCATTCCGGGCATCACGAACTCTTTTCCAGTTCTCGATGCATTATGATACACGGTAACTAGCCCCTTAGTTTGAACTACGGGATCCGGAAGCAGGATACTGATCCATACAAAGTATGCAACTCGAATCTGAGAGACAATCAAAGAGGACAAGTGAGCAACTATTTGACGCTTTGCAAGAAACCCCACCAGGTAAATATGGTCAGCCTTACCAGATTTTCAGGTTTGATCCTACCCAGCATACCACCAAACCAATGTAAGATGGCTCGGCCAGTTCTATCTCTTTCTTCCTGAACATGATAAAACCCAGACAAGAGTAAGTTCTTGTCCTCTTCATTCAAGTCATCAAGAGTTATTTCTCGAGCAACCTTATCGTTACCGAAGTACTTCGCCTTGTGCTGCAGAGAGTTCATCATTTGACGAACAGATTTACCAACATCGTGCATGTTTGCTCTCAAAAACTTTAGTCGAAACGAAGGATCTTCAACGTAAGCTCTGTTTTGAGTCATGGCAATTTCATAGGCAGCATTTCGATCCTTCTTTACCATCTCTTCAAAATCGGCAAGCGCTTTCTGTATCATTCCAGGGGTCTCTTTCAGTTCCTCTCCTACGCAGTGGATGTCATCAAATGCCTCCGCTCTTTCTTCCAACGATAACTTGTTCAGTTCGGATGCAAGCATTTCTTCAGTTGGTTGCATTACGTGCAGTCCATCGTGGTTAGCAGCTTGACGATTTGTGGTGATAGGAGCAGTATTATGATCCGTATCATCATGTTGATGGCCACCTTTGCATGGTCTGCAAGACCAATTATGGTGCTGGATAGACGATGCCATGATGAACTGACGTGAAGTGATATCCTGTGGACGAAATGGAACAGTTTATTTTACTCTTCACTGGAACAAAAACGACGCGATGTACCGGTATGGTCAGTCCCGTTCTTCGGTTGCCAAAGCTGTTCCAGTTCGCCGACTCACAATGATAACACTTGCTAGCACGCAGTGCACGTATCATGTACACATAAAATGGTACCATACCCCGAATGAACGGCGCTCTAAATACTGTATTCGTGGAGCGGTCCTGCGTTACCGGTTTCATACATACCTACCGGTACCGGTATGCGTGGAGGGGTCCTGCGTTCCCTGTTTTGGCAGCTTATTTAAGAGTGGTATCTCCTTGTGAGTTGGGAGTCGAATGAATACGGGGTGGTGTGGGGGATTCTACCAGGAACCCCCAAACCCCGAGCATACTCACTATATTGTATATTATAGTTCGACTTTCCTTTGATGGTGAGCATCTGGTAGTTTCATAGTATGCAGGAGTCACTAGAACATACTGTACGGATGATCCATGGCTAGTACTAGCACTACTACCTACTAAGTTAATAGTTAAGACCAGAAGTTGGACCAGCAGCAGGTGGTGCTGAGGTGAGGATCGCGAGCGAATTACAGTAGGTCCATATCATGACAATCTAGTAAACTATTTCATGTTGGGCCACTGCTGGAAGGTTCAAATGTAGGACCGGCAGTACGCATCGGCTATTACGAACGGATGATTCATCTGATTTAGTACATCTGTACAGAAAAGCTTCAACAGAAACTTGGTTAAATGCCCAATCACCACATTGGAACCACAAATGGTTCACAGGGCGTCTCTGTCCATCTTTTGTCGTTAGCTACGCTCTCTACCAGTATTGGTGGACTGATGAATCTCCAGATTCGATGTCATCTCCGCCATGACAAAGGATGCAAAAGTTGTCTGAATGGCACTGGACTGTTCCTTTCTCGCCCAAATCCCACCCTCCCAACGGAACGATCCACATTTTGCAATACTTGTGACTTGTATTTGTTCAGCCCCCAACCACCATTAATCCCATCCACAAGTGACCCTTTTTGCACAAGTGGAAATAGAATAAGTGCCTTCGGTGGTCCTTGCTGTAACAAATTATCCACTTTGATCCTTTTTCGTGAATAGATCGGCCGAGTACATTTCCAAAAGAGAATTCAAAGATAATCCATACGCAAATTTGCAGATGTGGCCAAGAAGTGAAATGGCGCCATTTTGAAGCAATCCAATAATACACTACTATAGTTCGTCGCGTCCTTCGTCTGCTTCAGCCATGGGCGATGACGCTGTTGCCAATGAG